GGATGGATGGATGGATGGATGGATGGATGGATGGATGGATGGATGGATGGATGGATGGATGGATGGATGGATGGATGGATGGATGGATGGATGGAGGGATGGATGGAGGGATGGATGGATGGAGATGACCCTGAGGAGGAGGACTGGGCAGTTCTGGTGGGTGACAAATGTGACATGATGTGGCCATGGGCACGAGCAGCCCTGAAAGCAGCAGGGGAAGGAGGGGGAGCTCTCCCTCTGCWCTGCTCTCCTGAGTCCTSTCTGGAGCTGCCTCCAGCTCTGGGGTCCCAGCACAGACAGACACGGAGCTGGTAGAGCAGGTCTGGAGCAGGCTACAGCATGGGCTGAGGTGCTCCGTGGTCTCTGCCATGGAGAAAAGCTGMTCTGTGGGAGCTGCCAGCCCCATCCCCTGCTCCACTGCAGCCACTWCTCTCTTGCTGAGGGCCAGAGCTGCTGCAGGACCCCACCTCCATGGGGTCTTTCCCTCCTCTGCCGGCGCTGCCTCAGCCCCACCTGTGGCTGTGATGCCAATTCCTGCTGTTCACGAGGCCAAACCCCACCATCCCCACCATGAACCCTTTTGTCCCCACTATGCGAATGGAAAATGTTTATGCTTCCTTGGCTGGAAGCAGCTCTCACCCCAAAGGCTGGGATACACAAACCTCCCACATGCCTGGGATCCCCTGGCTGCCTCTCCCTGCTCAGAACAGCCAGCAGAGCCTCTGCTTTTGGCCCCAGACTGGCTGATTTGCCCAGTTCCCATTTTCCCAGAGGATAAAACCCAGCACTGACGCTCCARCGCCAGCCCCAGCTGTGGCCACCCTTCCCTGTGCTCCATTCCATGTGATTTTCATCACACCTTTAAAAATAAAAATCCCCAAACCCACTCAAGCCCAGCCTTCCCAAGGCAGAGATTGATATTTCCACATGGCAAATGCTTCCATGCAATTCTCCACTGTCCTATTTTTGGTTTCTCACCAGTGCTGGCACTGGTTGCAGCAATCCATGCTGGAGCTCCAGCCRAGCTTGGAAGAAGGGAATAAAGGTTTCTTAGGGCAGAAAAGGAAATCTCATCTCCTTCCCTGGCCTGTGCCACCCACGCCTGACACCTAATGAGACCTCAGGTGGCCTCAGTCCTGTCC